TTGATATAAAATATTATTCAAAATTTGACGCTGAAAGTGACATTTATGTGACACTAGACATAGATCGTACATACTACGTGTTATTTGACGTAACGTGGGACATTTGTACGCAACGAAAGATAGCAGCAATTGTTAGCAACGTCAAATGTTACACAATATGTCGCGTTTTATGCCAAAAGTCGCATAAAATGACACGTTTTGTGTTAACTGTCACAAAATATGTCACGTTCCATGTCAAATGAAAGAAAATTTCTAAGGACGACTAGCTAATAATATTTGAACAATTATAGTCGGTAATGTAGATCCTTTATGTTAAAATAAAAATTGAAGACAAACTATCTCCATTACATACAATGTAATAATCAGCATACAGAGTTGCTATTTTACTCTAGATTTCATGCTGACGAATGAAATCACAACCACTTGAAGACTTGCGATTTAAGCACATGCATCTAGGAATAGAGGTGACCAAGCGCAACAATTTATAGTGGTACTATAGAGCAAAAGAAGAGCGTCGGTATGGGCTTTTAGAAAAACAAGAAGAAAAGAAAGAAGCAGCAAAAAATAAGGAGAGAACAGCATTACTGAAGAATCGAAAGATTAAATCTCAAATTGCTCAAGTTCGTGCTGCCAAAAGCAAGTTTTTGACGAATCATCATCTGATAAATCAGTCGCACTCTGCTCTCAAGAAAGTATTGATTCTTGTGACATTTATTTTTCCTATAACGATGAAGAGCAAGACATTAATGTTGTATGCTGATTACTTTGTCGTAGTGGAGGTTTTTGGAAAACAATCATATAGAATATTTGTCGCCAAAGTCTGCTAATTAATGCTGGTTTTAAAGCTTTCAAAAGCCAATAAAAACCAGCTCTTTTAGATTTTTAAATTCATTAGAATTCTTTGACGACCTCGCCAAATACGGTTCTCTTTTAGATTAACGTTTTGTATTACGATTACGATTATAAATTACGAAGATGGAAAGAATATATGCAAGAATTATTCGAAGATGCAATACGAAGTCCGACTGAAATAAACAATCCCTACGGCCCAGAAATAAACAAAAAAGTAACTATGGCCATTAAGCGGATTAAAGATAAAAAATCACCAGGATCGGATTAAGTGCATGGTGAAATTTTAAAACTGTTAAACAACAGCTATTCAACAACATCTACGAGACTGGTTAATTACCAAAAGACTGGCTACTATCAATATTCGTTCCACTTCCTAAAAACGCCAGAAAATGAGAAGAACATAGATCAATTAGTTTGATGAACCATGTACTTAAAGTACACCTTACTATGATTCACTCGCGCATTTGCATCAAATTAGAAGAACATGTAAGTGAAGTTCAATTTGGATTCAGAGCAGGACTCGGAACGAGGGAAGTACTTCTTGGTTTGCTAGTTCTAATACAGAGAGCCAAGGATATCAACTGCGATGTGTATGCATGTTTCATTGATTTCGAAAAAGCATTTGATAAAGTCTCACATGGGAAACTAATCAGACTGATCTCAAACTTTGCAACAGTACGATTAGAAAGTTAACTGTCCGAGATCTTCATAGTCGAAAAAGGAGTTAGGGTTGCATATTGTCACCGGCATTATTTACCATATACTCTGAAAACATCCTTAGAGAGGCCTTGGATAAATCAGAAGATGGGATTGCTCTAAATGGCCAACTTACAAACAACAATAGATAAAGGTAGACGATACATTGTTGCTGGCAGATAGTGCGCGGGGGTTCCAAAGGATGATGGATAACATTGTAAGATAAAAATAATGATCATTAGTACGAACACTGGCATAGACGCCCAAATTACAATTAACGATACACCGTTAGAATGAGTGGAAACATATTTTATTTGGGCTGCAATATTAAGGATATTTAGTATCACAGCTACGAAATAAAAACTCGTATTAAAAAACCAGAAGCTCTTTCAACAGCCTTAGGAAGATTCTTTGCAACTTATCTTCAAGTATCAATATACGCATAAGAATTCTTAGATGTTCCGTCTTTAGTGTTCCCCTCTATATAGTAGAAAGCTGTATAGAATATACAGAAAGCTATAGCATAGAAAGCTATATAGAAAGTAATATAATTAATTTCCAGTGGCTAAGAAAAGATAAAGAAATTATTAACACGATAAAGAAAAATTGGCTTATTTCGGCCACATCATGCATAATAATAAACGCCGACTTTGAAAGTTGACGCTACAGGGCAAAATTGAAGGTAAGGGAAGCCCTGGACATAGACGTATATTCTGGCTGGCCAATCTTAGAAAATGTTGTCGTCAATATCTCTAGAATGTAGGTACCTTTAGAAGAAGATATTACGTTTGTTTTTTTTTTCAATAAAGATTTTTCTCTTTTTAATGCCTACCATCTCTTTTATTTGAGGTTTTTTACATTTTAGTTTTGGGGCAAAATTACGCACTTGCGTACTACTGTTCCATTTGTAGGAGCAAGAGTATGCAAATAATGATTTTTTAAAAATCTTTTTTATTTACTAGTGAACTTATAGAACTACTGTCGATACTTAAAATGAAGAACAATATGTAAGCTCTCCTATAATAACATTGGAAAAGATCTAAAGGGTTATAGCTTATGAAGACGATAGGAGATAACGAAACAGCGTTGTTTTGCCCAAAATACTCTAAAAACCTTTAAATTAACTCAGATGCATCGAGTTGAACCTTTTTTCATTTATTGATTTTACTATTTCAAAAATTGAATTCATACTTTCAAAAGAAAATTGATATTTTTTTAATTTGAGTTACCTTGTTACAGAGATTATAATATTCTAATAGTTGATTTGTGTCTATTTATTCGAGAAATTTGTTTAAACAATTTAAAATAAATATTTAATTTTCGAAATTTTAATTTCTTGGTATATTAAAAATTTAGTATATTATACACCTAATATTGTTGGTAGAAAAGGTTATGAAATAATAGGTTACTTACATCTTTGGGTATTGTAGTTATAAATAATATCTTTTATCAATAAATTTATCAAAAAATCAGTTTTTTACTTGAAAATGAAATCAATACTTGTTAATTTTTCTTTAATTATAATTAATATTTTTGCAATTTTTTTTCTTGAATGAAAAACAGTACAAATATATTAAGAACAAATTACTTGTTATAAGCTTTTTATACCTAATTATAAATAAAAATAGTAAAATTAGGTATTTAAACTGTAATATTATGATTATACTTACACAACTTACTTAATTACTTACATGCTTAAATCCAGAACTATTATAACGTTTAAAACGTTACATTTTTGTTCTTATTAATGTCAAAGTTCTCTCCACTATTTTCTGCTCGTACTATTTGATTCTCGTTACTAATAACTTATTTTTCCTTTGTTTTTATTTCTATATTTTATTTCAATATTTTCCTACTACAAATAAATCCACCGATTAATTTCTTAAGTCCCCTCGTAGTTGTACCTGCGCTTACTTTCTCATATAAGAGACATAAACCCCACTGCTAAATAATTTACTTCTATGAATCCGATTCGATTTACTTTCTTTATAAAATAAACCAGCAACAAACAAGGTACCCAAAAAAAAATCTTCGTGATCAGAAACTTCCAACAGTCTGGATAAGTTTAATACTTTGTTTTTTTTTACAACGACAACATATTTTCATACATTAATCAAGAATATGAACACTGTTAGTTTTTCTTATAATTTTGTGTACGCTAGTACTTAAAAACCGCTTAGAATTTTTATTTTCTTTTGACCTATATTTGCTGTAATAATATAAATCTCACTAGCATGAATCGTACAACTTTTCTTTTTCATTTTTCATTTAATAAATATAATCTATTGCAATTGCTAATTCGTGAGTTTTGGCAACATCAGAGAGTTCTGAATCGGTATGCAAGTCTTAGAGATAAGAGCTTTCCGCTTGCCAGAATTCTTCTGTTGTTGGACAAAACTCGTGCCATGACAAATTTTATATCGATTTTTGTTTTTCCAGCCACCTTGGTTTTGGTTTAAGAAAATCCACCTTGGTTTAGGTTTAAGAAAATTCACATGGTTTTGGATTCAAGAAAATCCACATGGTTTGGGATTTAAGAAAATGCACATGGTTTTAGTTTAAGAAAATCCACATGGTTTTGGATTTAAGAAAATGCACATGGTTTTGATTTAAGAAAATCCACATGGTTTTGGTTTAGAGGCATGGTTTTATTGCAGATAATTTATGGATCGAGTTGAGAAGAGAGCAATAGCAGGATCTCTTATGAAAGTTAAACTAAGTTTTTTTTCTTTGATTTGTGTATAGATGCTTAATTTTCTGTTATCAGAACCTCGAATTTTAATTTGTTACTTTATTAATTTATAAATTAATAAATAAATGTGTTGAAAACTTATTTTATTAATAATTCCCGATTTCTCAAAATTAATTAGTTTTTGCCGAACAACACCCCTGAGGGGTTTTAATGTGCAATGGATGAGCGTTGAAGTTTCTTATTATTTTATAACCTTTCCTCCGAATAATAATAAGATAGCATTAAAAAGTTGCAAACTAAACAATTTTAAATTGTTTACATAAATTATTGGGTTAAACAAACAATTTATAAATAATTTTCTAGGCTTTTTCAGTAAAATTTTGTGTCTTTCCATACAATTTACAAGTATTCAATTTTAGTATTTAAAATCAAATAGCGATCTTACATTGTTTATATATTGTTTATTGTTTATAAGTAAAAAATTACGTTTAATCGTTTGCATTTTTCTTTATTACAAAATGTTATCACCATTTTTATCAAAAACAGTTGTTAGATAGGCCTAAGCTGCCTCTTTATCGATTTAAATGATTCTCTAACTAATTTATTGTTATATATTTCCCACTGATGAATTTTATTATTTAATTTGTTATTATTTTTTGATTTTATTGTATATACAGAAATATTATTAAGTTGACACTTATACTAACAGTTTTCCACGATTCACAACGAATAGATATCCACATAATACAAGAGTTTCCACTTACGCTATTTTCTCACTCGGCGATCTCCAAGGCACATCATCTTCTAGTTCATCTTCGCTTTCATCGCCCTCGTCGGTGGCGTCTTGTGCGATATTCAGAGTACTGCTAGTGAACATATCTGGTACTGGTAAAATACTGGGTCTGCGAGAGTTTCGCCGTTGGTTGATCATTTCGGGGCTCAAAAGATTAGGATTCTCGCCACCGCTTCTAGGAATATCCAAATGGTTACCTATAAAATACATTTACGTCATCCGTTTCTTTTGTAATTAGATGTATTTAAAGAAAAAAAAAATCGGTTGAAGATAATGTTTAGCCTGTTATCTTTTGACAAATAACATGGCATCGACCATTAGTGATGACAACTCTTCACATAAGGATTACTTTTGAGATTTGGTTCCAAATACTAGTGCAGTATCTATTAAATTATTTGTATAACCAGCAATTTTCTAAAATAATTGTCAATTGGTGAAATTTATAGAAAAAACACTAAATATTTTTAGGTACAAATTTGGGATTAATTGTAGATTTTGAATTTAAATGTTTTTAATTATATTTTGAATATTGGGATAAATTTTGGAGGAATACGTACATTGTTTTTCAAATGAATATTAATTAATTTAGAATGATATAATGATTTAATAACATTGATGATTAAAACATTTCTTCCCATACATACAACGAACAGAAAAGACAAGAATAACACAAAGCTAAATTGTGAAGAAATGACAAATTAGCTTTGGAAACTTTTTTTTTATTGGCTTTGGCTTGAAACCTTGAGCCACGTAATTACATATAAATATTAGTATTCATTCATACAGGATTGTACAAGGAGGACACTTTTCACGCTCAGGGATTCATCAGAGCGGCTTTATTGTAACAAACAAGGCATAAACCACGGTTAGGTAGGTGGGCAACATATATGGTAAACATACAAAGGAATTATTTTAAAGATTTTTATATTGTCTTCACTTAATAGGAGATTTACGTTTAATGGTGTACTTAATCCTTCTTTTATCAATTCTTTTATCAGCCACGTGCTTGTATTACGATGTAGTGAGCAGTTGAAGAATATGTAATTTAAATCAGCTATACTAGTTCCACACTCACATCGGTCTGTTGGGAGAACTCCTATTTTGTGTAGATGTTTCGGAAAACATCCATGATCTACTTTTAATCTTAAGACAGTTGACACCGTGTTTCTGCTTAGTGTAACATCTTTGTAAAATTGTTTTACATCTACTGTGGGTTGTAATTTGTATAAATTAGTGCCCCTGCTTTCACCAAACTGAATCCATTGTCTTTCCCATTTAAATTTAATATGTTGTTTGATATAGGCAAGTAGGTCACATGTGTTAAATTCTTCTATCACCATATGTGGGTGCTGTAATAGATTTTTAGCTATAAAATCAGCAATAGTATTGCCAACAAGATCTGAATGTCCCTTGACCCATAGAAATTTAGTACCATATGGATCTGATAGTTTCAGTAACTGTTGAAAAATTTCTAATATGAATATGTTGCTATTGATTGTGAATTTAAAGTTTTGTAAGGAGTGCAATACTGACAGTGAATCTTTGCATATGAAAATTTTGTTCCACTGGTTTTCACAGCACAATTCAAGGGCTTTGTATATAGCACACGCTTCAGCAGAAAAAATGCTGGATTGATAATTTAAAATAAATGATTTTTTAATCTTCATTTTTGGTACAAAGTAAGCACTGGTTGTACATGCTGGTGATTTTGACCCGTCTGTATAGATCACAATATGATCTAAATAGCCACTTAAGATTTCTTTAAGAGTAGTGTAGCAAAATTCGTTTTGGTATTTTGGTTTAATAATATTTGTAGCTAGAACACTTGTTAGATGTGGTATATCCAACGATTCCCAGATAAGATTACAAGGGGAATTTATTAACTTCAGTTCGTTGCAAGTTATAATTGCTCTTGCAAGTAGTGGAGAGTTTTTTTTAACGAAGTATGTAGATGTTAAATCAGCTGTATTTAATTCATTAATTATTTTTGCATTATGAGTGCCACGATAATGTTGGTTTAGGACATATTTGCTTGCCAGATATTCTCTGCGTAATGAGAGTGGATTTTCAGATGCTAGAGCTAGGGTGGCTTCATTTGGAGTGCTTTGATTCAATCCTAACACAATCCTTAGAGCTTTAAATTGAATTCTATCAAGTTTACGTAAATTGGTTATACTAGCTAACCCATATACCACACAACAGTAATCTATTATAGATCTTATATAGGCTCGATAAAAATTCAATGCAATGTTTCGATCTGCACTCCACGATCTCTTACACACCATTTTAAGAAAATTAATACCTTTTTCGCAGCGACCAATTGTATAATTAATATGTTGAGTCCAAAGCAGTTTCCTGTCAAGTATGACACCAAGATATCTAACTTCCGAAACAATTGGAATATCATTGCCATGTAAGGTTACAGCGTGATGTTTAATAGGGTGTTTTCTTGAAAAAAATACTATGGCACATTTTTGGTACGAGATATTAAATCCATTTAACCAAGTCCAATTATCCAAGTTGTACATAATATGTTTGAGTTCAGTAGTGCTTTCACTGTACGGTTTCTTATGTGAATAGATGACAATATCATCAGCATATTGTAAGCAAACAATATTGGGAGACTATAAATTGTGCAAATCGTATGTGTACAAATTAAAAAGAAGTGGACTTAAAACAGCTCCCTGTGGAATACCTTTTGATGTGATCTTCGGTCCAATATTATTGTGACCTACTCTTATCGATACACTTCTCTCTTTGTATAGGTTTGATAGTAAATGTGAGCTTTGGAAACGCATTTTCAAAATTTAATACAATTTGAATTGCGTGTGCTTGAAACAAGCTTAATATGTTTATTTTTTAACAAAATAAACATAATTTTTCAGATGATCTTATCTTTATCTGGAACTCCGGCAGATAATGTTTCAACGTATTTAAGCGAAATAAAAAACGGATTTGTGAAAAGTTGAATATTTTTCTTCTCTAATGAAAATCCTAAAATTTTGTAATAAATAGCTTTAAGAAATCAAAATTAAATTGGCGACATTACATAATTTGATGGCTAGTTCCGATGTGAAATCTGTAATTTGTTTTAGTAAAATCTAAATAAAATGTTCGTTTTTCAATATGTTAACATACCTATTGTTGAAAAAATTTAATATGATCAATGTAATCCTAAATTGTATTGTTGAAATGTCCGTTTATATTCACAAGTGAGCATAGCTTCCTTTGGAAGTCCTAATTTTTAAACAGAGAGAATCATATGGTAATTTTTCTTTTTCTTTTTAAAACTTCAGAATACACTTTTTCAAAATTTCCAAAATCTTGCTAATGCATATCCTTTGCACAGCAAACTATTAAACACTTCCTCCTTCGCTTTTTGCTGACAAAAATTCTCGGAATACTCGTCGATTACTAGTTCGAGTATGACTTTTATTGATATACCGAGACACAGACTTACCGAGGATAGATCGAGATCCTTGGCACAGCGATTTTTGATGGACTATACAATTCAATTTGAAAACTTTTCTTATTAAAAGATTTTAAAGTAGCATTGTAAATCGTGTGGCATGACCCACCACTTGACTTTGCTACTTTCATTAATTTCCACGAGGAAACTAAGTTCCTGTAGCTGGCTGTATACCATATATCACAAAAAAATTTTGTTAAAATCCTTTATAAAAGGTATATAAAATTGCCTCAAACGGGCTATCACAAACACATTGCAAAACGTTTTCGGATTAAACAATCCATCATCAGTGCAAACGGTTGTACATGCTAGTAGCCACCAAAATATATGGGTAAAAACCCCTTAAAAGTTATAAATTTGAAATTATTTTACATTATTATTGTTTCTAATTTGTGATGGTTAAGTTACCGTTGGATAGGTAACATGGCGGCGTATGACTCTACATGAGTAAAATGGTCCTGAGACAAAGTGCCTACGAGGACCTGTTGATAACAACTCTGTTGAGTTGTTATCAACAGGTCCTCGTAGGCACTTCGTCTCAGGACCATTTTACTCATGTAGAGTCATACGCCGCCATGTTACCTATCCAACGGTAACTTAACCATCACAAATTAGAAACAATAATAATGTAAAATAATTTCAAATTTATAACTTTTAAGGGGTTTTTACCCATATATTTTGGTGGCTACTAGCATGTACAACCGTTTGCACTGATGATGGATTGTTTAATCCGAAAACGTTTTGCAATGTGTTTGTGATAGCCCGTTTGAGGCAATTTTATATACCTTTTATAAAGGATTTTAACAAAATTTTTTTACTTTCATTAATATTTTTAACTGTTCCAAGATGTTCTGTCCTCTTAAGTAGAGCCGTTGTAGTAGACAATATTCAAACTATCTGTCAAGAAGCATAACATTATGCTCAACTGCATAATGATGTCGACTTTCATTCAAAGCTAGTTAAAAATACTTGCATATTGTGTTTTAAATTTTCGGGTGAAGCTTGGTTTCATAGTGGAAATTGATAAGGTTTTGGAGTTGATTTGGGGCGCGAAGATATTTCGCATGAAGGCGAATCTTGAAAAATCATTAGATGTTGATGTGCTAGTATTGTATGGACTTTCCTTAGGCAGCGGCCAATATGACCACATTAAGTTTAGAAAAATCTATTGGTTGCTTGAAAGGAAATTCAAGTTGTTAATGTATAATAAACTTTCAATTTATAAGAAAATCCTAAATCCAGTCTGGATCTGAGAAATACAATTGTATACGCACCGCAAAATAAGATTCTGTAAATCAGGAGATACTCAATGAATCACAACAACGAAGAGACACTGCAGGTTCTTAATAATAAAAGACTTGGAAGTAGAGTCAAAAGAAGAGAAGCACTCAAATTGCTGCTTTAAGTAAATAACAGCATAGAGAAAAATATCCAACACTTTTTTGGACGCCAATTTGGGAAGATTTAAAATCGCTAGCAAATAATTCTTATAGTTTATTTTTATGAACGAGAGAGTAATTGGCATAATTTTAACTGGTACCTTCGACCACTCCATGGGCGTGCGCAAGATTAATTGAAAAATTACTTTGAATAATTGTAAAAAATAAATGAATTATTTCAGTGTTATAAAGTGTTGTGTGTATGTAAACAAAAGTGACCTCTTTTATCACACACTATATTAGAACTGACTGGCCTACATTAAAAAACGTTTTAAAAAATTCACATTTTTTTTTTAATTTTT